GTGTCAGACCTAACTGGTTCAAGCGGTTCAGTCGGTTCATCCCATTCGCTATTGTCCATTTAGTGACTGCGTACAGGACCCGGCACGAGGTGGGGAAATGACAAGCTAGAAATCGTTTTGGGGTCAAAAGCAAAGGGGATATCGTTTTTGCGGGGTCCGGGATCCTCGAAAAAATTGATAGTTAATGCTCTCTGCGTATCTCAACATGCTATATGCCTCAACAGAAGCACAGCAGAGTTCGCGCGCGTCAAACCGCGCCGTCGTTAACTGCCGAACGCGACGTCGCTAACTGCTGCACGCGCGACGTCGCTTAAACGATGCTATTTGTAACAGCGTATATGAATAGTCTCTATGCATGCGTTATTACATGGCACCAAATTTCGTAAGCGAACGAAGAGAGGCTAGTGGAAACAAAGTATGAAAGATTATGAACAATATATATGAATGGAAGGTGTAATAAGCATTTTTTCCAAAAATTTTGCATAAGTGGTGAATGAAGAAGTGAGCTCAAATGGCTCGTTTGCAACGCACAGATGACGATATGGTATGAGACTTGGTAGGTACATGGACACGGGCCTGCAGTGCAGAGGTGAGATAGTGGGAGCCGATTCTCTCCCTACCTTCACTTTTGAGCTGGTACAGAGTGACCACCTTCACTTTTGGAATAAAAAATTTTCTCGTGGGATGTTAAAGAAGAAAATAAGCGAAACAAGTGCAAAAGAGATCATTGAATGCATATTTTTATGTATACAGCGTCATAAATATCCAAAATAAACGTGCTCATCAAATAGTGTATTTGGAAGTAAAACTCAGCGGAACTGTACGTATTTTATTAACTAAATTTTGTTATAATGTACAGCGAAGAAAGTAGATCGATCCAGGCGGTAACGGCCGAGAACCAGAATTTTGAATACCCTATTTTCCGGCTTATAAGCCGGAAAATAGGGTATTCAAAATTCTGGTTCTCGGCCGTTACTGCCTGGATCGATCTACTTTCTTCGCTGTACATTATAACAAAATTTAGTTAATAAAATACGTACAGTTCCGCTGAGTTTTACTTCCAAATACACTATTTGATGAGCACGTTTATTTTGGATATTTATGACGCTGTATACATAAAAATATGCATTCAATGATCTCTTTTGCATTTGTTTCGCTTATTTTCTTCTTTAACATCCCACGAGAAAATTTTTTATTCCAAAAGTGAAGGTGGTCACTCTGTACCAGCTCAAAAGTGAAGGTAGGGAGAGAATCGGCTCCCACTATCTCACCTCTGCACTGCAGGCCCGTGTCCATGTACCTACCAAGTCTCATACTATATCGTCCCAGTACTCTGCGTTGATACCACTGCTT